GTTTTCAGTGATCGCCTTACGAAATTTCCCCATCATTTGCATTAGAGCTAAACCCGTTTTTGTCCTTGCCATAAAGTCTTCCAATCTGGGACTCCGTCCCTATATTATCCTCCGGAGTCCGCCGGAGAAAATCTATAACCCAGTGCTCGGTTCCTCGCTTCTGCTTCGCCGTCGATTACCTACCGCAAACCTAGGTCGCGGTCAGGCCTCTTACGGTAAGAGAGATTTTCTTTAAACTAACGATTATATCGTAGTTCTGGTAAAATTCCATTGGTTTTAGGGGATTTCCTTTGCAGGATGGACATAATCTCGCAATTGCAAGAACAAGTTAACACCATTGCAGCTCTCGCCTTCAATACCTTTGGGACGCTGCAAAGGGATGCGCCTCCGGTGAGACTTTCTCCCAATTACCCAGAACCGCCTGCTAATCCCACTGAGGATGCGGCGAATTTTGCAGAGCAACCCAAGCTCATGAGTGCCGCTCTTGTCAAGGCTGCTAAGCAGGTGAGGAATTTTTGAGAAATTCTAATCTAGACCCATGTACTTTCGATTTCAACAGGATTGCAGGCATGACTAGCTGACCTTCATCCAGCTAAACCCTAGGGATAGATTTGAAAACCCAGTATTGAATTGTGATTAAAGTAAACAAGATCGAAATTTTAGATAAGGGTGTTGTCCTGCAATGTCTAGCAACAATATTTGGATTATGATATGAATCAATGAACTACTTTCATCTGTGTAGAAGCTTTAGTTGAGAATGGTATCACTTTATTGGGGTGAAAAAAAATATAGAAAAAGAAAGATTCAGTGACCCTTCATTTCAAGTTAGAAAGATTAGAAATTTACTATTAGAGTCTGTTTCCCCGTAAGTCCGACTTAAGGATTTTGAAAGAACCCTTTAACTTCCTCAGAATGTCTGTCTGCAAATATCAAAAGGTTACAAGCAAACTATAGAGCATAGACAATGGTGTTGATTAGCTAATTAGAATTTGACCCGCTTCCAGAGTCTTTTCCTCTTGGTTAAGTAAAATGAAACTTGCACTCTTTCTTGTTAGTCTAATATGCTCTTGAGTAATTGTTTATTTTACAGTTTGATGCATTGGTTGCGGCACTACCATCATCCGAGGGAGGTGAAGAAGCTCAGTTGAGAAGGATTGCAGAACTTCAGGCTGAAAATGATGCTGTAGGCCAGGAACTTCAGAGGCAACTGGAAGCTGCAGGTAAATTTATCAGCCTCATTGAATCTATTAGAACACATCCCTAGTCACCCCTAGCCTTCCTACCCCAGAAGAGAAAAATGACCTAGAGAAATATTTAACAACTTAGATGTTCTTTTCCCCCTTTATGATGCCAGAGAAGGAGCTGAAACAAGTGCAAGAGTTGTTCAGTCAAGCAGCCGATAATTGCTTGAACTTGAAGAAACCAGATTGAAGTTACTTTTGGGAGCTGGAACCACTTTTTCCCTCTTCACAGTTGTCCCAAGTGCTCCTCAACATGTCATTTTTTTTAATGGTTTTGGTTTTGGTGCCAAAAACTATGCCCAGTCTGTGTTGTACTTATGACGGATAATGTAAGAATGGATCTAAGGTTGAGATCACAAATTTCATGTTCCTTTCGTTTTGGTTATATGGCACTTCTTTTAAGGTAGTTGTTGGTTTTGAAATAACCCGATTCCCTCCCCGGTGTCAATAGTTCTTCCCTCGGGGCATGAAGGGTTTAGGATCAGGACATTTGATATGGTTCTGTGAACGATGGTTACAATCTTACAAGACCTAGAAGTTCCATTTTCAAGCCTAACTGGCGAAGGAACCAATATCATTTTTGTACAATCTATTGGAACTTTTATCTCGTGCCATGCTAATTGAGATAACAATTCCAGAAGAAAGAACAAACATTTAAATTAGAATATAATGAAATTATATGTAAGCGATCTTGAAATTGTTTTAATATTTTCAATATGAAAAATTAGAGCTACCAACTCTTGTACTTGGTGGACCACATGCATAAGCCTAGAGCTGATGACAAATAGATTAAAATAAGGCCAAATTAAAAATAGTACAAAATTTTCGAGGTTAATACAGTGCATATGCTATTTTGGTAGGAAAATAACAGAGTCTGAACTTATTCCCCAAGAAAGAAGAGAGTGACATCAGTTCATCTCACTACTACAACAAAGCAGCCACAACAGACTTTAATCTTTTCAGCTATATCCCACTTGTTGCTGCTGCTGCTGCTGCTGCTGCTGTTGTTGTGGCTGTTGATAGTTTCCATATCCTGGGTAACCTCCGTAGTACATGTTCGGATCTTGAGGAGGAGGAGCATAGCCATACTCGTATCCTTGACCATATCCATAATATCCACCATTCCACTGGTTTGGATCTGATTGAGGCTGTAAACCAGAGACATCCAATAGAAGGATGAGACTTAAAGGAATTTACCAAACTTCCCAAGCAGAGAAGAATTAAATTAGTACTACTAAACTACCTGTTTGTTTGAAGTACTCCGACCCCATGAAAGTCGAATATTTTGTCCACCCAGTTGACTTCCATTTAGTACCCGCAATGCCTCTTCTGCACAGCTCCTGATGCATCATAAAGAAAACAGAATGAGAACATTACACAGACCATATTTCTAGATTTCATTGCTCATGTTCATAATAAGAATCTTAGCTCACCTATCAGCAAATTGAACAAAACCACACCGCTTGCCGGCTGGTATCTTTACATGTACCAATTGCCCACACTGGCTAAAAAAATCTCTCAAATAATCATCCGTCACATTGGGATCCAAATTACCAACAAATATCTGCATTGAAATATGTCAAGTCATAATGGTGCATCCAAAAATTATTTTTAACATTTGATAGTAAAACAAAGTACCCACAGTAGTATTATTTGGGTCACCGTCATTTGGGGTCCCTTGAGTCGAAGCTGCATCTGAAAAATAAAGGTACCAAAAAAAAAAAAAATCTATAAAAAGAGCATGGCAGCATGGCACCATCTACAAAACCATGAAAACCACATGGGCAAGAGAAGGCTGGATCCCTTCAGAAATCTAGAAGATCTTGATAACCACAGTTTCTAACAATTAGAATGTAATGGACAAATACAAATTCAGAGACTAATATTGTTGAATGAGTAAGTTGAAGCACAATGCAAGAGTATCCTCAACTTAGACATAATTTTTCAATTGTCAGTGTAAAGTCAATTGGCTATCCAATAATCAACAGAAAGTGGACAGCAAAATCCATGTGAAATCACTGCTAACAATTGATACATAAATAAACTCACAAAGCAATAAAGCATCTGAACAATCAGATGAACTTTCCTTGATATTAGCCCACATAGCATATGGATAATATATTATTAATCAGCATACCAAATCCTAATAATGAAGTAAACACAGAATCTCTTACAACTGCAACATTTCTAATTCTAGAGGCACAAAAGGAGGCCCATGGCCGTTTGGGGATTGTCACTTCAAGGAATTGATCAACAAAAGTAAAACCCTTATTACAAGAATTGAATGCCCACACAAACTAGAAGCAGCACAATGGAGTCTATAATACACTCACTGAGAGGTAGAAAAATAGAAGGTAAAATAAGTATAGGAGCAAGAAGGATAAATAATACTAGTGCCTATGGAACATTCAGAAATGGCCAAAGGCCTTAAAATTTAATTAGAAAAAGGATTTGGGAGCAAAAGTGTTGAAACAGTCAGATCTAGAATTAAAGAAAAGGCAAAGGGTAAAACCGTATGCAAGGAATGTACATAGGAAATTGCATATGTAAATCTCTGTATTAATCAACATAAAACTTAAGGGGAAAAAAAGGCACTAGTGGTGAACTGAAATATTAACGGACTGATAATCTCTAACCAGAGAAGAAACAAAAGGTAAGTTGACTGACAGCTCATCCAATAGAACTAAAAAGATACTTTGAATATGTAGCACAACACATGCCACAGAAATCTAAACACAAAAACTGACCTAAATGAGGGCACGGACTAAAGGGGTAACCATTTCAGGCTGAAATCGGTTCCAGGCCCCAAGATGACAGAGCCTCCTGACACCCTGCTTTGAGATAACAGTAGTTTTATAAGTTTTCAAGTTTCAGTTTCAACAGCATTTTATTGTGCCCAAATCTTAAGGGAAAATACAGGAAGGAAATGACTTTGGAAACTTCTGCTCAACTCTAAAGAATAACTGCAAGAATGAGAGCTCAACAATGATATTGAGTCTACTGCACCATAACTAAGTTACTTTGTGAAGTAGAGTAACTAATCTTACCACAAACAGATTAAATCATAAAAACAAGCAATAAATTTCAAAGCAAATGCACTCACATAAAAGAAAAGGGTGAGATTCTGAAAACCCAGCCAAACTTAAGGCAATAATGATATGCAAAGGGCACACCCCAGATGCCTTTGGTAAAAGTACAACCATAAAATAAATACCTCTAGGATACTGCTGGCCAACAATGGTCTTCTTGTTAGCAGCTGGCCCTATACGCATCTGCCTTGTTGAACAGAAAGCACCTTGCATCTCAATCATGGCACGGTTATGTTCAGCTTCATCTCCAAACCTAACAAAGCCATAACCCTTTGTACGTCCAGTTACTCTATCAACAACAACCTTTGCACCCTTAACTGAGGGATAACGGGCCCCGAAGGTCTCTTGAAGCATGTAATCCGTAACATCAGCAGCCAAGTCTCCAACAAATATTGTGAAGTCAGGGGTTTCATCACGCCTCTCACCTGAGCCAAAGGATGCCCAGTTCAGCCTGAAGTTCTGCTCACCATTGGGCATAGGAGTACCATTGTATGTTTGCAGAATCCTTTCAGCAGCAGCACGAGACGTGAACTCAATAAAGCCATAGCCCTCAACTTGACCAGTTTGCTTGTTACGGATGACTTTCACGGAAGCAAACTGAAATGTGAAACAGCTTTGTCAAGAAGGAAAACAAGACAATAGGTAGACCTCCCTACATCAAACTATTTAACGCACACATCACAATAAGCAAAACTTTTAGAATCTTTACAAGGGACAAGAAACAATTTTTGAACCACTGACCAATTCCACAGCCATAAGGTTAAAATCCCCCATATCCAAGGCGGAAGATAAAATTGAAAAACAGAGACATCATCTGAAATCATCTAGTCCAAGTGTCTAACTTGCCAGGAAAGAAAATCCAAGCAGCAGTTTCACAAAACAGACCAGTAACAAAGAGCAAAAACACAGATGACAATAAAGGAACTATGTAGCTTGAATACCTCTCCAGTGTGCACAAAACAGTTCGTGAGGTAATTCTCATCCATCCAGTACTGCAAATCACCGATCCACAGAGTCCGCACCTCATCCGCACTGGGAGGTTGACCAACCTGTTGTTGCTGCTGAGACGGTAGCGAAACAGCAGGAGGCTGGGTAGCCCACATGGGTGGAGGCTGGCTCTGAGGCTGCATCATGTTCATCATCATGTAAGGCTGCTGCGGCTGTGGAGGTACTGGTGGCTGCTGATACTGAAACTGCTGGTGGGTCTGAGAACCCACGGCCGGCGGGGGGGCCATTGATGGTGGAACCACACCCGGCGCTGGCTGCTGCATCATCGTTAGATATATGAAAAATCTTCTATGTAACGAGATTCAGACAAAGGGAGCGAAACACAAACCCTAACCCTAGATAAGGAAGCGTCTGTGGATTGGAAATTTGTGGAAAGGAGAAAGTGATATGGTGAACCGAAAGAGGCCGTCTTTAATATCGTGCGATTCGTGCTGAAAAGACGGGAATGGGTCCGAGGTTTGGTACAATACCGTAGACGTCGTTGGGATATTTTGGTAAATGTAATATGAGTCGGTGGACCCACTCGGTATTTTGACCACGGACTGCGGACTAGTGATTAAGAAATTAAGACGGTATGGAAGGGAAAGGTACGTGAATGATACTTACAATTTTCTTTCATAATTTGGCTAAATTCGAGGGTTGGTCCATGATGGATAGAGTCCTTGTAACTTCTTTTCTTTTCTTTTTTTTTTTTTTATCGTAAAAACATAATTAGTAAATTAGTATTTATTTGAATATTGATTAAAGAGTTGATCTGATAATTATGTATTGTGTTTCATTTTATTTCTTATACAAAAAAACATGATCACTTGAGTCACACAAAAGAATGCAATTGATCAAACACTAGCAAAACCATACTCTTTTTTAAATAGTTCCATGCTCCTAATGATAGATTCAATTGATTAAAAATTTAATATTTTAATATTAGAGTCTTGAAATTAAATCTTATTGAGATAAATATTTTTCATTCATTTATAACCAGATGGAGAAATTTACATAAAGTGCTAAGGTGGTATCATGTAATTTACAACGTGATAAAAAAAGAGGATATTTCAAAATTGGTCCATATTAGTTAAGTTTGATGTG